GTATAATTTAGTATTAGAAAAATTCAAAACAACTTTTATATGTTTTATTGGGTTATTTTCCCCCCTTTGTCCCTCATGTTTTTTTACATCAGTTTTTAGTCCCCGCGTCTCTCTTCGTTGTAGTTGCAGTCTCCATTATAAATAATTTAGAAAACAATTGTCTTAAACAAGTTTTTATATTTTTATTCAAATGCAATTTTTTAGAACAATTATGTAAACATATTTTTTCTTATAAAAAATTATTTTAAAAATAATTTTATAACTTGAAAATGTAAAAACAAAAAATAGAAACAAGGACCTATATCACTTAATTATGCACATATTTAAACTTATCTTCGAATCAGGAAAAAATATAAAAAGCTCTTCAAAATTAAGAGCTCAATAATATTCACATACATGGTGTAATCATTACTGTATATATATAAAAGGAAGAGAAAACATGGATGATGGATCGTATAATAAAGAGAAAAATCACTATTCTTCAAGTCCAGTTCTCTAAAGGAATGTAAAGAATTGTAAAATAAAATTATTGATTTTTGTTAAATATTTACAGTGTTCCTGGAATCCTTTTTTTTTTTTTTTTGGGGAAAATGGCACTAAGGTCCCAAGAAAGAATAAATACTGCAAAAAGGTTCCACAAAAAACACAAATAGACTATAGGTCCCAATGGAACTTCATTGCAAAAGAATCAAAAGCCACAATTACCTTTCTGTCCTTAATGATTTAGAAACAAAAAAATGAAAGGAATGACCATTTTTGTGCGTCGTCCTCCAAATACTTTATGAGAAATAAAAAATTTCGGACCAGACAAATGGAGTTTGCATATCATCTTTCCCATCACCATCATTAAAGTCAAAATAACTTCCCTTTTTATCTTCTTGACAGATTTTTGTGTTTGCAACATTCATCTCCTCTTCATCCTGTTGTGTTGATAATTTTAAGTTAGGGTATTTCAGTATCAATCGATAGAATAATGAATAGATATTCTGTTTATGGGTACATTTTGGGTGGCATGTTTTGTTTGTTTGTGATTAAGTTGGAATGAGTGAAAATGATGATGGTTGTTGCCGGTGGAACACCTTTGATACAGAATGAAAAAATGTGTTATCAATGCAGGTCGCGATAATTATCAATATAGTTGTTTAAATTGTTAATGACAACTGTATTGTATAGGTTTATATTAAAAATGGTAAATAAGTATGAAAAGCATCTATTTTTTTTCTTTCATGTGAGGAGAAGTTTGTAAATGATGTAGATGATATATGATATGTTGGGGACTGTGTAAAAACAATAACTATAAAGAAAGGCACAAATTGTGAAGAGTTGAAAACAATAATATCATCATTTGTTGCAAAAGAAAGTAACTCATTTGACATTTTTATTATTTATGTCACTTGTTATTGTAAATGATATGCTTTATATCATAATATTTAAATGTTACAACAAAATATTAGTTAATGAGCATTTGTTGAGTATTGTAGATGCTATTATTGACAATTATGGTGGATGTCTTGGTCAATAATGGTTTGCTTGTTGACAGCACATTTTATATAAAGAAAATTGATAAACAAAATAACATTATTATTTGGTTTTGCATTCATCTATGACCTATTTTCATGTTTAGTTTTTTAAACAAAAAACCAGAATAATTATCAAAATCACATATATTAATAGATAAATTAACAAGTCATAATACTGCTATTAACAACTTAGAGAGTGGATATTAACGATATACATTGAGAATATTGATAACTGTTAATTTCAAACGTGTAATTGTTTTATATTTTACTCAAAATAAAAATACTATATTATATTATAACCATAATGTATTAAATTTATATTACTCGAGTGAAATTTTTTCAAAACTTAAACAAATTCATATTAGCATATAAATTAATAAGTGACAGTATTACTATTAATAGGTTACATTCATACCATTAACAAGTAAGTGTACACACATTAAGAACTGAGATAGAGAATATTAACAATTAAAGATGTTGTTAATTTTAAATGTGCAGTTTAGTTATATAGCAAAATATTATATGATATTATATCAAATTATAATTAAGATGTATTACTAAAACTTATGTTACTTGAATGACATTTTTTGTAAGACTTAAAACATATTCATATGAGCTTATATATTAGTAGGTGATAGTGCCACCATTGAAAACTCACAATGTCACCATTAACAAGTGAGTGTATAATTAACAAAAAGTGATTTCATAATTTTATCTAAGTGATAATTGACTTTTTAGTGTCACATTATAACTCAAATATATACCTGCAAATGAATTGATGATATTATCTCACATTATATCATATCATGCGACTTAAAATCAATTTTTTTTAAATTTATATCAGTAGATAAATTGGCAAGTGATAGTGCCATCAGCAATAAGTGACAAAGGTGTATTGATAATGATATGTGTAGATAATGACAACCGTTTACACATCAAAATGTAACATATCGATTTATAACTAACTTTCATTTATAACTTCATGTAAATGTAATTATACTAATTTCACAACACATCAAAGAAAAAAAAAATACAGGTTGCATGTGCCAATAGCGTACTAACTATTGGTTTGTATTGTCACATTTACAAAAATTCCTATCACATCCAATTACCCCAAAAAAAAAAGTTTCTATAACATGTTTTTAGCCAGTGTTTAGGTTCTTTCATGTCTTGACACTATGTCTAATCTCATTATATCTTCCATTGCATCATCTATTGTTGGTTCTGTATTGTCATTATTTCTCTTCTCTCCTACACACGTATGACAACTTTTTCATTGAGCTTTATTAAATGTTATCCACCATCATCATCTGCAATATCTACAAATATAAACATACATAACTGTTCGAGAATTTCAAAACAAATAAGTTACGTTTTTTTTTTGGCAACAAATGATGATATCATTGTATTTAACTCTTCATAATTTGTGCCTTCCTTTACACTTATAGTTCTTACACTATCTCCAATACATCACATATAATATGCATCATTTACAACTTCCTCCTGCATGAAAGAAACAAAATGTGTGTTTTTCGAACTTATTTACCATCTTTAATATAAAACTGTACAATACAGTTGTTATTAACTGGTCAAGTAGTTATATTGATAGTTATTGTGGTCTGTATTGACAACATATTTTCTCATTCCGTATTACAAGCGTTCTACCTACAACAATCATTATCATTTTCACTCATCCTCACTTAATCACAGACAAACATAGCATGCCACTTATAATATGCCCATAAATAGAGTACCTATTCATTACTCCACCCACCCATACTGAAACCCTAGCTTAAAATTATCAACACAATAGGATGAAGAGGGAGATGAATGTTGTAAACACAAAAATCCGTCAAGAAGATGAAGAGGGAAGCTATTTCGACTTTAATGATGGTAATAAGGAAGATGATTGACAAACTCCATTTCTCTGGCTTGAAATTGTTTTGTTTCTCATGAAGCATTTGGAGGAAGAGACGCAAAAATGGTCATCCCTTTCATTTTTTTCGCTCCTAAATCATTAAGGACAGAAAGGTCATTGTAGCTTTTGATTCTTTGAAATCCCATTAGGACTTATAATCTACTTGTGATTTATGTGGGACCTTTTGGAAGTATTTATTCTTTCTTGGGACTTTAATGTCGTGTTCCTGTTTTTGGGCTGAAACATTGTTCCTCTGATACTTAATTTGTCTATATACATCCGAGATTTTTGGGTATCCCAAAACCGTGGTTTCAGAAGCACTTTTCCGCAAAACGAGATAATCTCCTCCACATATTTACTTCGTAATCCGTAAAAGCACTTCTGAAACCATAGTTTGGTTTCTATCCAAACACACCCTTTAGAAAGATCAATAAGAATTCAATGATTCTTAACAAATATTTGGCAAGAGTAATTAATTAGACAAACACTCCAAGTATTGGAGGAAATAAGAAATTTACCTTTTCTTTATTCAAATTTTTAATAGTTATATCAGTTGGTATAATAACCACCGTTAAAATCATAGTTTTTTTATACTAGTTTCCTAACTGGCGTAAAAAGTGCAAATTTTAACACCGTGCATTTTTACATTGGTTGTCTTTTCTAATGACAAATGTCCATTTTAACCCGCGTAGAGGACTTGTTTTTTTTTTATAAAAAATAATGACTGCTTTTATCTGTGGTCATTACATCACTTGCAATTTCAAATTATATTGCATGACTTTGAAACTGGACTTATTTTCAATTCATGGCAAGTGAGAAGTTTATTAATCTTTCTCACTATATAGCATGCACGGAGTATTTAAAAAATTTATTTTTATTCATAATTCATGTAATAAATACTCATATCACGCACGCGAAACTCTTCTTTTCAGCTTTTCCCCTTCCCTACTTTTCCCTTCTTTTTTTTATTATTATTGGATCAAAACTTTATTTTAAAGGTTCAGATTTAATATTTTATAAGATTCTTATTATGATTTTATATAAAAAAATATATAAATCAATTTAAACTAATTAAGATTTGATAGCAACAGTTTTAACTATTCATTCAGGACAAATAAAATATGCATTTTCTTTTGGTCAAAAAAATAAAATATGTATTTTTATGTGGGCCTACCCAAATTAAATTTGGGAGAATTACAATGAGATTCTAAGAAAAAAATTATAAAATAAGTCTAAGAAATTGTTATTTTTTATTATAAAACTTGTCAAACTGTTTAGGTTGTTATTAGAATATTTTAATAATAATTATTTTTTTTAGACCTCATTGTATGAGGTAATTCTGTCATTGAATTTTAACAATTTAAATTTATTTATGTATTTTAATTAATGTAAAATATTAAATTTAAATTGTTAAATTAAATGAAAAGGGGAGGAAACTAAAAAGGGTGGGAAAAGGAAAAGAAGAGGTTTCTCTCATATAGAGACACACATTACAGTTGTAAATCACGAAGAAGAAGAAGAAAACTGATGGTGCACCGCCCAGTAGGGACCAAACAAGCAGGCACCACAAACGAACAGGCACATGACTTACACGTTATCGACTTGTTTCGACCACATTTTGTACTAAGAAAACTCTTTCAGATTTCCAATTATTAATAATGAAGAAAAAATTTTACTTTTCTATATATGGACACATCTCAAAAGCTGTGTTCATCGATCAGCATAGCGACGGAAGAGAGACGAAGGAGAAAGAAAGTGAAGATGAGAGGAAAAGATAAGCATGAATCTGAAACCCCCCATGTGCTCATATTTCCATTACCAGCGCAAGGACATGTCAATTCCATGCTCCTCCTGGCGGAGCTTCTCGCCATTTCCGACGTCCACGTCACCTTTCTCAACACCCACCACATTCACCACCGTCTACTCCAGTTCGCCGGCAACATCGAAGCTCGACATCCTACTCTTGGCTTCAAGACCTTCGCCGACGGCGTTGCCCAGGACCACCCGCGATTCGGAGGCGACATGAACGAATTCTTCAACCACGTTAAGTTTCAGGGCAGCCTCAAGTTGAGGGAGTTGTGCTCCGACCATTCTGGAAAGCCAAGGATCACTTGCATTATAGCTGATGGCATGTTCGGAGACATATCCTCCGACATCGGAGACGAGCTCGGCATACCCATAATTCATTTCCGTACGGCGAGTGCATGCAGTTTCTGGTCATTTTTTTCTGTCCCTGTGCTCCTTCAAAGCAACGAACTTCCAATTAGAGGTATACATTATAGGCTTACATTTGTGAAATAAATTGAGAAACAAACTGAAAAAGAAACAGAAGAGCGCTTCAAACCGTTGTTAGAATAATAAGGCAGTTTATTGAGAAGATATACAAATGAATAAATTTGAGTAAATATGCATCTTATTGTGATTTATCTGTGAAGGGGAGGAAGACATGGATCGTGTAATAACAAAAATCCCAGGTATGGAAAACTTGATTCGGTGTCGGGATCTTCCAAGTCTTTGTCGAGGAACCCATGATGGCAAATTTTCTCTGGACACCGTGGTATTCCAGACCCATCAATCACTTCGAGCTCAAGCTCTGATTTCTAACACATTTGAAGACTTGGAAGGTTCGGTCCTCTCCCAAATACGGAATCGCTTCCCCAAACTCTACGCCCTCGGTCCTCTCCACGCACACCTCAGTTACAGAAAAGCCTCCAAAACGCCGTCGGAGGAGGAACCGCCTCCTTCCTTCACAAACAGTCTCTACGATGTAGACAGAACATGCATTAGGTGGCTCGACGCTCAGCCCCCAAAGTCGGTGATATACGTGAGCTTTGGCAGCGTGGCTATCATCACGAGGGATCAATTGATGGAGATATGGTACGGTTTGGTGAACAGCAAGAAGCGGTTCTTGTGGGTATTCCGACCCAACTTGGTGGCGGAACAAGAAGCGAAAGATCTGCCGTTGGAGCTTGTGGAAGGGACAAAGCAGAGAGGGTGTACAGTGGGCTGGGCCCCACAACAGGAGGTGCTTGGACATGCGGCGGTCGGCGGGTTCATGACACACAGTGGGTGGAACTCGACGTTGGAGGGGGTGGTGGCCGGCGTTCCGATGCTTTGCTGGCCGAACTTCGGCGACCAACAGATAAACAGCAGATATGTGAGTGAGGTGTGGAAGATGGGGTTAGATATGAAGGACTTGTGTGATAGGAAAGTTGTAGAGAAGATGGTAAACGATCTGATGGAGGAGAGGAGGGAGGAGTTTGAGAAATCGACGCAGGCTATGGCAACCTTAGCCAAAAAGAGCGTGCGTGAAGGTGGTTCCTCGTGCTCCGATTTGGATAGTTTGATTGAGTATTTAAGGTCAATTTGTTAAGGAAAATGGCCATCGTTTTTCTGACGTTGAGGTAAATGAGAAGTCCTGTAAGCTCGGCTTTGTGAGTGAAATATTAGTTTAGACCTCAGTTACTCGGCTCAATTTCTATGCAAAAGGAATCGCGGTCAATAATCTGGGCATCATTTAGCCCAATGCACATGATATTAGTGGGCTCAGTGTCTTTCCCTATCCTGCTTTGTGGTTTGTTGATAAGTCAGATGTGCTTCAAGCCTTTTAATGGAATAACAAAATGAAAAATGCAGTTTTTTACTCCAAGTATTCTCTAATTAGAAACAATTCTGTTTGAGACACTATCAGGTATTAAATATGAGCATCTCTTTCAATAGAAATTCAAACCTTAAGTCACTGCCTTGTTAGGAATTAACTCTTTCTATTAGACCCAATTGCTGTTAGTGTATTTTTATTAATATTTAGCATTTGCACATAATATTTAATTATTTTTAGACATATTTTGGTCTTAGCAAGAATCTGAAACTCATCTTGCCTAAATTTTTATTTAGAAAATCCTTAAAAATAAATAGAGTCTTGTAGTCTGCTTATTATATCAAGTGTACCTCCCTCTTTACCATATTACTCAATTATGCGAGAGAAATGAGTGATTATTATTCTGATGACTCATTGCTCTAGTGGATTATGTGCAGCAAAATGTTATTTTTGTTATATTTATTTATGTTGCCCTTCGAATTTGTACTTGGCACTAATGAAATATAATATTTATGAGTAAATTAAAATTGCCTACCACATCATATGGAAGCTGTCACGATGACGAGATGAAATGGAGTGTACGGATTACAGAAGAGAATGATAAGAAGACCATAGGAGAGGCGTGGTTCCTCCCCGGCTTTGAACCATGCGCTAGGATGTGGGGCAGGATGTCTCCCCTTCTTTTTTTCTTCGCTTTCGTCCACTTCTCATTTCAATTATAAAATTAGATTTTAACAGTTCATATTTTATATTTATAAAATTATAAATAAAATGTTAAAATTTTAAAAATAAATAAATAAAATTAAATAAAACTACTAAATTTTAATCAGTATAATTCAAAATAATAGTAAAAAATGCTTTATAAAATTATTTTCAAAAACATGAAATCTAGACCGCTAAACTTTCAATCTTGATGGTTAAGATGAAAAGTGGATGGAAATGGAGAGAGAGAGAAGTGAAAAGATCTTTTGCCTCTTGGATGTCAGAAAAATAAAAACAAGACCTGGTGCTGGGAAAAGACAAAAAGAGGATTTGCATATTTGTTTTGCTATTTCTGTGACTAAAAATTTCTCTTCTTTTCTTTTCATCCCCAGGGGAAAAGATTATTCAACAAAAATAGTTACTTATTTTTCATACCAAAATATAATTAAATATATAAATCTGAATCCATAATATTTCATTTATTCAAGGTTTATTTTCTTTCTTTTTGATTTATTATGATTCATAGGTCTTTTCAAAGTTGTTGTTAAACTTTTACCAGATTTTAAATTCCAATTTCAAATAACATTAAAAAATTCTTAAAGATTCTCATAACATGCGATTAAGTAGTAATACTATATAGTGATATAAATATTAATAGAACATCTCAATCCCATCCTACATAATGGTATTGTGCTAGAGGAGGAAAAGTTACGAGGGAAAAAATGTCACGAACCAAAATATTCAACAATAACACACCCGAGATCAGGTGCAAGAAGAATCTCCAAATAAAGACTGTTCGCAACCGCTGGAAAATATATGGAAAAATTAGGTGCCAAAACCCTTATTTCAATGAGGTTGCTTATAAGGGTGATATTGCTTTTATTAGTACTCAAGGTATAAATTGACAACCTCCAAGTTGGAAGTATTAACAGAAATAAGGAGATATGCATTCCAAATGGTACCCATCACAACCTGGCTAGGTTAATTAAACTAAATGTTGATGGCTCTGTGAACTAGATAGTGCTGCTGCATATGGTCGGTGGCCTTGTTAAGGATGGCCAAGGCAATTTGGCTAAAAGGATTGAGTAATAGATATCTTGGAATTTGGATACCATCCTAACATATTATTGCAGCTGCCAAAGTCTTACCCCTATCCTTGAAGGAGTTAATCTTTGTTCAGAGGTTAAATACCATAAAGTTAACATCTATATACTATCTCAACTCCGGTCCTTCATATAAGAGTTAGATAAGTAATTTGAAAATATTAAAAAAATTAGTTAAGTTGGTTGATTATAACAAATGTATCTTGACCTTCCTAAACTATCCTATTTAATTATGTGTATGAGAATTATTTCTTAGTAAGAACTCGTTACAATTAATAGAAATATTTTAAATAAAATATTATAGATTTGAAAGATATAATTGATTGAGATATTATATTTATTACTAAATTCAACTTTTAACTGACTTTTATATTAAAGACTGAAAATATTATTATGATTTGATTCGGGCTCTTGGGCTTTAGAAATGAATACCGCTAATGCGATCTCATTTCGGCCCTGTCGAAAAGATTGCTCCGTTTGAAAATTACCAAAGAAAAGGGCAATGGTATTGTAAATTGAATTCCCACATTATTTATCTATGAAAAGTAACATTCCATCCATCACTCTATGAGGAAGGAAATAATAGTATTTCTGATAGGAATGGAATAATAGAAAACCAAACATACTCAAGCAAAGATTCACATTCTTATATTCTCATCCAATATAGACGATTTCAGTATTTCACTAATCGTATTAGTACAAAATACTCAAGCAAAGATGAATTTTTGCTTTTATTTATTGGGTGACGTAGAAATTATAAATTGCTGCAAAGGAAGCAATACCAAAGCCTCATGTTAGTCAACCCAACTAAACCTTGGTTTGGTTCTGGTGTTGGAGTGGCACCAATTAGTTAGATTGGGTCAATTAGTTCCGTGAAATGGAGACATCACACAGTTCTCAAATGACAGATGAAACATGACAAGTGGCATGAGCCAATAAATATGGTCACAAATAACATTGGCCTCCCCTTCTGAAATAAAATGTATGTTTGCGTGTGTGTGTGTGTATAATTAATAGCAAGTTTTACGTACAGTTTACACAAATTAAAAAACAAGTCTTATTTTCCAAATTTTAATTCGAATGAAACTCTCTAATTAAAAATGTCACAAATTATTTCTCTGTAATCAAAGATGGATTGTTCTTAGATAACAGTCTATCCTCATCATTAAACTATCTCATCTGTGCTCTAACCCCACCCCAAAAAAAAAAAACAGAAATCATTTCAGTCCTCATCAAATTGGCGCATACCATGAAAATAATAGAAAAATGCATGAAAGGAGTATTACCCGTTCACAAGAACATGCAAATGTAAGGCCGCCGAATCCAAATCTCTTGAACTAATTGAATTGGTAGAGATATTGTTTCGACGTTTATTATTGTTATCATATTCAAATAGCTGGTATCAGCATAGGGCTAGCTTAGGATAAAAAATTTTTAAAAAATGGTGGCACAGTCCAAATCCAAAATATTCCCGTTTAATATGAAGCATGGGCGGTAATACAGGCTAACTCGCGTATTAGGATTAGGGGTGTGCATGAGACTCAAATACCTAGTGAGCCCGCCCGAGCTTGAGGAAAAATTACCTAGCCTAGCCCCAAAAAAGAATAAGCATCCTTGGGCCGGGCATTTCATGGGCAAGGCCAAGCATCGGGTAGGACATGCTGCTATGCCCATTTGGCCTTGTCCGGATTATATATATATGTTATAATTTATGAAATAATATTAATATATTATATTTCTTTACCCAAAAAAATTATCTCCCTCCTATTTGCAATTTTTCTTTTCCATTTGCCCTATAGCCCAATTTTTTCCTTTCCTTGTTGCCAATTTTTTTCCTAAAAACTCTGCTTGATTATGGAGGATTGGCCACAGGAGTTCTAAATCTTGCTATTGTTTTTTCACTGGTAATTTAATTTATTATTGTCACGTATATGTTAGTTTTCCATTTCAGGAGACCTAATTCTTCTAAAGTAGCAATAGAATCTTGCTTTTAACTTGTTCTTCCTTTACCCAAAAAAAAAACTTGTTCTTTGTGAGCTTTATTGGATATATCCTATTATGTGTTTCTGTTGCAATGTTGGCTGTTTATAAGTTAGTCTTTCCCCCCGTTCTAGGCCATTAACAACATTTCTTTGTTAGAGAATGGAGCTCATACATAAAATATTTGTGTACATTACCAATTTCGAATATTTATACAAGATAGAAAACAATATTGGGATAGAAGATGGGAAAGAAAATTAGGGTTTAATTATCTGAATTATATGTTTTATTTTTTATTTAATTTATATTTAGTTATTTTGTATTAATTTTTTTTTGAACAAGTGAAAGAAGTCTTTTAGTTGCGTGGATTGCTAACTGCATCGTATCACATGATGAGTGTTTGCATATTAAAAGTGGTTAAAAATCTTTCTTGTTTAGTTTCTGATATATTAAATTATAAGATTTTAAGATTTTTTATTTTTCTTTTTACAATTATTTTCACCCTATTTTTATATGGTCTATATTATTCTTGTTAGCCCATTGCTTCAGTTTTAATATCCTTTTGCAATCCTTTATGTAACATTTAATTTTTGTAGCTTAAATGGATGATCAAGCTTCTTTACATTGCCATCCCCAATCCTCAATGAAATATCTCAAGGTGCTTCAACCCCTCTTTAATTTTTTTCCAGATGTTTTATCCTTTTTTCAACTTTGTGGAGATTAATGCAAACTGTTTAAATTTCAAAGTTTTAATTACAATCTTGAGAGTTGTTTTGTTCTAAGTAGATTATGGATGTTATTTATTTGAATATTTGTGAAGACTTGTTTCGAATTATTTCTGGATGATTTCAATGTGTGAAAATATAAAATTATAAAATGTAATTTTTAGTTATGGATGAAATTTTTTCACGTATGATATAGGTAAGCCATCAACATTTGGGTAGCGAAGCCCGTCTTGCTCAGCCCATCCATGCTTAGCCCAAAATGGTTAGAACTTTCACGGGCTGGGCTGGGCAACGGGCTGCAAAATGCAACTCGTTCATACTTCGGGCTGGGCATCGGGTAAGGTTCTTGCCCTACCCAGCCTTGCCCATGTGCACCCCTAGTTAGGATTATTAGGTGGTGTAGGTTGAAAAGACCCAATGTAATGGCATTGGCAGGTTAACTTTTAGTCAACTCTAACCTGCCAACTATTATTTTCTTTTTTTAAAATTTTTTTTCCATTTTAAAAATATTTTTGTTATATAATATAAACAAAATATAATGAAATTTTTATCTTTTCTTTAAATACTTGATTGAAAACCAGTGAAAAAAAAACCGGACCGAACCGGCCGGTTCAACCGGTGAACCGGTGAACCGGCCAGTGGTCCGGTCCGGTTAAAGAAATGAACCGGTCATAAAATGAACTGGCATCAACCCGGTCAAACCGGGATAAACCAGTGCAAACCGGCAAAAACCGGTATAAACCGGTAATGAACCGGTTTGAATGATATTTTTCTATTTATCTTATTTTTTCTTATTCAACTCCTAATATTTCAATCACTATATATTTAAATGAATTTTAATAATAATTTTGGTATTAATAATTATTAATTTTAGTTATTAAGAAATCATAAAGATCAAAATCCTTAATGTTATTGTATTTTGTTTTAATTACAATCAAATTATTGTTGTATTTCCTTACATTTTGTTATTAGTGATTATTAATATTGCTATACTTTGTTATTTTTAATTAAATTTTATCATTTTAATGTGACCGGTTTGATCCCAATCTGACCCCGATCTGACCCATTGACCCTTGAACCACTACCTCAACCGGTTTAGTGTCCGGTCCGGTTTTTTGTTCCTTGTTGAAAACATCAAATAAATGATATAAGTATTTCTTAAAATTTTTTATATAGGATATAAAATATAATAATTAATAAAATTAAAAATATATTAAAAAATAAATACAGGTTACCTCATGGGTTGGCTGGCTAATTCATAGGGGATTGTGAATTTAGCAGTACGAGTTAAAAAGTTTCGTTTACTAGCAGGGTTGGCTTTTAACTAGTCTTAACCCGTCATTTTTTATGGGTTGGCGAGTTGAACCTCTCTACCATGAAGCACCGAGGATAATGAGATATAGGCATTAGGGTTAGGAATACCAATGATATTTCCCAATTTTACCTACATGGGTTTGTCCCAATTCTAAGTAACAATCAATCTCTTATACTAAATGCTTTTTAATAGGTTTTCTTAACCTCAATCATAATCTTTATCTCTTATTCTCAGTCCTTGATGCTAAATGGGACCTTAAAGTCGTTAATTATTAAAGAAGCTACTCAATGAACACCAAATATCAACGAACCTTGTTGGATAAGGCTTCGGGAGATTACTGGCTGATAAAGGGATCTCAAACTTTAAACATACATTTATCCGAATGCAAACTTCATTCCCGATTTCTTTATCACTACATACTGACCTAACCTATACCCCCAAAAGAAAATATGATTACACGTATATTGTGTCTATGTTTCAATAATGGTTATCCAAAATCTGTAATACACATGTTAGCCAAACCAAGCACTTTTTTGTTCTATTCTATTTGAATTTTAGTTTGCAGTGAAAGTGCGGTTAGGTAAATTGGCCTCACTCTTTGGAGTATGCAAATAAACTTCTTATAAGTAAACGCTCAAATCGTAGTATATGGCACTTTTCTGTGTTTTCGTTAATGGATCCAACAAAACCAACCAAAGAAATTTGATTTGATCTTTATTGATGTAACTGCCCATTTTAAAATTTGAAGTTTAATGGTCCATTCATATGTAGTTTAATCTCAAAATGGTAGCTGCTCACGTCAAAAAAAAAAAGAGAGAGAGAGAGAGAACTTGTTCGGATCAATGACAAATCGAACTGAATTCCATAAGAATAATAGTTAGAGTGTGAAATAATTTATTTAGTAATAAAACAAGGTGAAAATCATGGGCGCAAATAAAATTGGCATTTTTATATGATGAAAAATGTATTGGTAAGCAAGGCTTCATATAGACAAACTAATTTTGTATTTAATAAACAATACTCCCTCCGTTCCTTATTATAAGAGACATTTGATGTTTATGGTATGTTCCTATATATAAGAGACATTTAAAAGTTGTCTCTACTTTTTTGTGTTGATTTCTTATTTTACCCATATTTATTATCTCCAACTCGCACTCTCTCTCCCTCCCACTTCTCTTTCTTTTAATATTTTAATTGTTCTCTCTCATGCTCTCTTTCCTTATTAATGAGGGCATTTTTGGAAAACAAATTATACTTTTTACACATTAATTGTTCTTAACTAATTTTAACTATTTTTTTGATCAACGTATTTCGATTATTTGTCTCTTATAATAAAGAACGGAGGGAGTAGTATTCAATTATTCATATATCACGCCCTTTATCGCATTTTTTGAGAGTGCATGTGTCTCATGTTTATAGTATTCAACTATTCATATAACTTTACTAAAAAATCATACACAAAATCTTGGAAATATTTCCGGTTATTTGTCATATGTTGACAAACATTACCTGATATGCAAGGTTTATTGGCTTTGAGCTTTTTTAATTATATATATTTTTGATGATCATGTAATGAAAATAAAGATAGTTAATTAGTTAATTAGTTAATGAAATGTCTCCGCCTTCCTTCTTCTTTTATTTTGCAATCAAAATTAAATGAAAACTTCTTCCCAGCAATTACATATATACAAGTTTTACACAGCCAAATATCATCATCCCCCACTTTGAACCAACAAAAATTAACGATCAAAATTCAAAACGTACAAAAATAATTATTAATCTCATGAGAAAACATCATTAACATGAGCACATCTAATAAATTCTCTATCTGTTTTTTTTCTTTTCTTGCGCCCTTTTCTCCTATGAAATCAACAAAATGTGATGGACGTGTTCAAAATCAAAATCACCTGACGCCAGCAACCCAATTTTCCATTAAACGACAGTGAATGGGGCAGTGACGACATTGGCTACTTCAAGATTTTGACCATTCTAATAACAATATATACACATTTTGAAACAAAACGTCAAACAAGCCGCCTTCAAACGACAATACAGCAAGATAAACCCAACTTAATTCCCCGGATTTTCATGACGTGCCCGGTGATTTCTCTCAAGAAGTCCCTCAAGAATCACTTTCTTCTTGTAAAACTCGGAATCCAAATACAAGTCATTTGAATCTGCATTCAATTTTTTTATTGCGTCGTTTTCATCGGCCCTTCTCATTCGTGGGAACAAATACAACCACGCGGAAGTGCAGAGAATAGCACATAAACGACCCCACACTGCCAGTATAACCAAAGTCACCAGAACAGCTGACAAGCCCAACGCAGAGTCGTATGACTCGCGTCTCCTTGCGTTTCTCGACCGCGCAGCCTTGTTCAAAGTCGTTTGACCCTGCCTTGGAACGGAAGACGACGAATGACTCTGTCGTCGTTTTGAAGCAGGCAAATAGACAGAGTGTGATACGGCTGGGACTGAGCTGCTTTCTTCACGCGCGTCCTCTTTAGGTGAAGCCACGTGAGACAAGCCATTCTCATTTTCTGGGTTTCGCTTTGCTCTTTCCCGTTGCCTTGTCTAAAACCAAAGCACAAGAAAGATCTGAGCTTTCTGGTTTTTTTTTTTTAAAAAAATCTCTTCCATGGTTCTGGTGGCCTAATAATCCTAATTAAGCAGGTATTTGCAAGTGAACAAAATTAAACATACCTGGGGAAGTGTCTGATCGGGTGTGACAGGGACCACCGGAGGTCTCTGACGTGGTGATTGTGGATTGGTTGCTGGAGTTTGAGATTTCATTAGAGGTTTCTGATTGTTTGACCTTGACTTCGACGTCGGCCTGAACAACTTCTTCCACCTCCATTTCTGAGAATGAACTCGATGAGCTCTGCGTTCCTTGTCATCAGGCAAAGAGGCATCCAACGGCACCGTTTTGGAGTCTGACTTCTTTCGAACCCTTCGCCATGAAAACTCAGATTCTCTGATGGAGGTTTCATCGTGGGAAAAAGACCCAAAGCAGCAGAGGAAAAGAGAGGATTTAGGTTTGGATTTATGGGGTTTGGCCATGGAGAAAGAGAGAGACTAGGAATAGAAGAACATGATGACGATGAAGGACTTTGAGAATGGAAATGGATTGCATATATGAGAGCATCATTAAAATAAGAAGAAACAAAAGGGTTTAAGGATCTGATTAATTAATTTATGGAAATAAATATAAAGATATAGTATTGGTTTGATTGAAACAACCATGGTTTGGCAAAAAGACTTGGACTTCGTCTATCAGCCTCCAGTCCTTACACGTTTGCCCCTTCCTCACGTTTCCAACATTCATAAATATAACTCAAGGAGACAAGGATTAATATATTATACTAAGATTAGACTGGCTTCGCTTAGTTACAATACAACAAAATGATTTGTTTTAGTTTGCACAAAAATTAAGATATTAAATATATATTATTAATATTACCTTTTGTTTATTTACAAGAAACAGGTGAAGATTAAATTTTTTATATAATTATCTGATATCCAATACTACTAGGTCTAGGTGATACTCGAACATTGTTAGAGATAGTTTCTAAAAGTATTTTTTGCGTTAATTAGTATGCAAAGCATCATCCACCATGCTATTTTCTAATTGCATCTAATACCCTAATTTTATTGATGGTACGCTCTAATGTTATTTTTTGGTGCTAGATATTTTTAGCTCATTCATTCATGTGCCCCCAACTCTAAATAAGATTAGGATATATTGGATATAAATTGACAATAATATTATGGAGTGTTGGACGCCTGGATGCACTGAAAAAATAGTATTAGTGTGTTAAATGCTTCATAAATAACATTAAAGTAATGGATATTATGAGAAAAAATACTAGGATGTTGAATGTCACTTTACCCTTAATTAATTGTCATTCTTTTCTTTTCTTTTTTTCACGAAAAAGTTTAGGTGAATTGGGTTTTGAAAACTCATCAAGGTTAGTGTGTTAAACTCACATCGACAATAGAATTCAAATTCACAAGCTTGTGACTTATAAGCCGACTCTTTATTTGTAACATCCTAACTTTTTTTATTCCCAAGACTAAAGTAAATTTATTAGTAAATTTTTATTAGCATCAATTTAATAAAAGTTAAAAATATATATATAAATAATTAAAATAATTATAATCATATGTATGCTTGTATATGTCAACTATATATATATATATGAATCGATGAATACAATAACAAATTTGAGAAATCCCACATAGACAAGCTGATAAGAAAATGGGGCTCTGCGAGCCCAAATATAGTGGTAGTGTGGGGAATTAAAAACAAGTTAAATAATTTTTGCACATAACTGAGACAGTCTCAATAAAGTGTATGTACGAATTCATAAGCCATTGGATTGGGATGAAATTTGGTCTGTTAGGACATCTAGCTCATCAATTTCAACAATTGGATGATTGATTAGATCTCTAAGGTAAGATTTATTAGGTATGCATTAAACTCTTTTTTTCAAATTTTGTAGATAACCCTAAGTAGTAAGTTATTCTTTTTGAATTTGTTCACTGTTATATCGAGCCAAAATTTGAAAAATAGACTCAAGACATCCAATACGTTAATTTCAATGATTAGATTAATAATTAAATTTTTGTAGTGAGAATAATTTAACTCATATTAAATCCATTTCTCTTATTTCTTCGAAAATAGAACAGAGGCTATAAATTGAAATTTTTTTCCTAGGTTATGAATCAATTGTAATTGATGATTCTCGTATGATATAATCTATTAATTGAAAGATAATACAAGCTAAAGAAACTTAGGAATAAAATCTAAATCATGGTATTCCTATTCTTACTCCAAACCTTAGAAAAATTGTACAAGCTAGAATTATGAGTAATAATTCAAAAACCTTAAAGAGAGAGTTATGGATTGAAATTTAATATATAGCTTACCTATGAGATACTGTAATAATGTATATTTTTTGTTTGTAAATCTGAAATTTGGTTTGTCGATTCCAAGTTCAGGGTCTTAATTTTTAACTCATAAGTACTTGTTAAACACCAAGTAACGTAAATTCTTACTTGTTTCCCCTATTGATTCCTCTATGAGTAGTTTTTAATTAAATTGAACATTTTAGGATAGATCTTGAATAATATAGAATAGAAAAACTGTCTTGAAATTATGAAAATTTTTTAGAAATTTGGAACATGCCTGGTGGGAGTGATTTGTGAAAAAGGAATTAATTATTAGAACTTTAGGACTGGATAGAAGTCCGATTAATGATTTTTGGATGAAATTACAGAACTGTGGCATATGATGTAGTTTGTGCCAACGAAGTATCCAAGCTATTGTTTTATTTGATTGGATTTTATATGGCAACATGAGTTTTTGGAATGGTATATTTCTGTCTTGATTACTTGAGAATACTATTGTATGGTATGATATAAATTATCTGAAGTGGTTAAACTATGTTTTGAATCTTATGTGATACATGTTCTTATGATACCCGATGACGATTGAGAAATGCCATGGTGATAATTAATTGGTTTAACACTCATGGGAGGTGTTATAATGGAGACTGATATACATATATTACCATGTGGTTTGCCTTCATAGGGCGCATTATGGTTGACTCTTTAGAGAGGGCAGTATCCCTCGAGGGCAACATCTCCGCTAGGAAACTGAGCAGTAAACCCATTAGGGCAGCATCCCTCTTTTCTGGAGGAAGCCATGGCGTGCATGTACTTTGCCGACTTTGGCTAGTCCGCATCACACGTGTGGAAAGCTTATGAGAGTCAACAATCATGTCATTAGGACTCAGCCTATGGGTTCAAGTCGGCAAGTATAAAAAGGATATAAGGCAGGAATTGAATGATTAGTAATGGATAATGAATGATGAGTAAAACATGCACATATGCTGATATTTCCTTTAGCTCATATGTTTGTGATATTTGTTTTCTGTTATGTGATAATAATATGTTAATGATTGTTTAAATTATTAGTCTCACCTGGAGCCTCTGAGGGGTGTTGGTAGGTGAAGTAGGTGGGTATTTTCGTTACTGAGTCAATAGTCTCACTCCATTACTTCTACCATTTTTAGGTAATAGTATAGGAGTCACAATGGGAAAAGAACCGGAGATGTGAGGTCATCTTCATTGGTGATCACCCCTCGAACTTTGGTATATTCAATCATTATTTATTTGCCACCTAGGACATCATTATGCATCTCTTTTTATATTCTCCATGTTAAAACTATTAATATGTCTTTAATTATAAATTTTCTTTTGAAAGCCTTAAGGGCAGTGGATCCATCATCGAATATTTCTGAAGAGTTCTTAGAAATAAGCTAAATTTAGTTTTGTTATATTACTTGTCACATACAAACTGTGTCAATTAGGTTCATGGAAGACTTTTTATAACCATGTTAGGAGTAACCTCCTAATATGGTTATGCGCAACGAGTAGTTATAATTCTTTTATAACCATGATATGTTATACTGTTGGCTGGTTGATAAACTCAATTATTTTTATATATTTTGATATTTTTTATATGGGTTTTGTCAACTTAATTAGTCTTTTTTGCCTTAATTGATTGTTAATTAATTTAACATGTTTTATTTTGAATTATTATTTTATAGGGGCAAAATTGTCATATTTTAGTTTAATTGTGACTAATTGATTTTTAAGGACAATTAATGCTAACTTATTCTTGAATTTTGATTGCAGGTTTTTGAAGATTTAAAAATAAAAAGAGAAAAAAGAAAAGCAAAAAAAATAAATTAAAAAAAAAAGAAAAAAGAATAGTAAAAGGGGAGAGCACTGGTTGTCTTATCTTTTTATATTATGGTTATATGACAAAGAGTAAAGAAATCTGGAACAATTTTAATAACTCACTTTCTTTTATCAACATGGTAATGATGTTGATATTTCTTATTTGTGTTAAGTGTGGCAAACTTCTATATAAAGTGTTACATTATCAATATGACTAACTCTTGTTAGTATTATCATTCATTTCTTATAGATATATAGTAGTTAGTATTCTTTTATTTGTATATTCTATTAAAACATAAGACAAATATTTTTCATTTGGGAAAGTAACATTAATTCCATTTCATTTTATTGAAATTGTGTAACGATTTGTTAATATCTTTTTTTGAAAGAATAAAGTACACCAGACAATTCTCTGATTTATTAATCAAATTAGATAATGTAATCAAACTAAATACTTTTTTGTTGCGTAAAATTATGTAGTTAATATACTCCTCCGGTCCTAATTATAAGACCCAATTGACTTATTTGAGGAGATTAAGGAAGTAAGTTAAGTTGGTTATTTATAATAAATAAGTATTGTCATTCCTAAAATATCCTTGCTAATGGCTAAAACTATCATTATTAGAAGGATTATCTTGGAAAAAAATACATAAATATAAGAGACAAAATGGATTGGGTCTTATAATTAGGACCAAATAAAAAGTCAAATTGGGTCTTATAATAAGGACCGGAGGAGTACAATCTTTATCAGTTTATCGTGACATGAAAATTAGAATAGTTTCAGATGCAAGGTGAACATTAAGTTAATTAATTATTCTTGTAATCCTATTAAGAGTAAAATTGTACTACCTTTAGTCCTTAATATAAGACCATGTTTGACTTTTATTTTGATCCTAAATATAATATCCCAATCTATTTTGTCTCTCATATTTATCCATTTTTTCTAAAATACTCCTTCTAATAATGATAGTTCTAACCAATACACTTGATTAGCAATAATATTTTAGAAAATACAATATCTACTTATTACAAATAACTAACTTAATTTATTTTCTTAATCTCTTCAAATTAGTCAACTAATTCTTATAATTAGGATTAGAGTTAGTAGTACTTTTATATTATGAAAAGGTTTACTTTTTAACGAAACATATAAGTTTAGATGGGAGAAGTTTACTCTGCGCATATTAAAATTTTAGGAGAGATTGACGTAATCCTTGAAATAAAAAAATTGTAATGTAATCTCACTAAGGTCAAAGGAAGGTTATTGGCGTATATATATCAATTGGCAATTTTATTAAGGGGTTAATTTTGAATATTCCCCATGGTCTACGTGCATGCCTTAAGTCTTAAGTTGTCCTTATTTTATTTTTATTTTTCATTGATAAAATATATAGAAGAATCATGTGATGCAAAAAATATATTAATTATATTCTGCAAATTGTTTAAGTATTTCCAAATATCTTCCATCAGATGATTTTTCTTGGACGACAGAATCCAATACTTATACGTAGCAAGAGACACAAAGAATAGACTAAATATGTTTTTAACAAAAAAAGTCAGAGATAATATTAGAAACTAAAACGAAAACATAGGAAGAATGTCTATTTATTGATAACACATATCAAAGAGATATCTAATGCAAATAAATATAAATGATATATTTTAGAAAAATAAAGATATTAACTAATTTTCTTAATATATATTAATTGATATATAAATGAAGTATTTAAATTTTTTGTATGAAAAAAATAATGGAAGGAGGTCCCGCCATTCATAGTATGAGTTTGTGCTTGTTTTTCTCAACCTGAACTGTCATGGGATGACCACATAAAGGCCATGCGTATTACTTATCTATATATTCATGATTAAGCAAACTAAATCCCCTTTTTAAGAAGTTCGCAACCCTCGGACGGACCTCTTACCGCTATCGGGCAACTTGCCTCCACTAACAAAATGCTAAAATTATATATAAATAATTTTTTCCTTGAAAAAAATTACACATGATTTCCTTAGAAATTTTCATTTTTCCCCACCCCCAAAGATATCTTTGAACCCCCATGCATTTATTTTAAAAATATATATTGACTTTAGAAGTCATTTTGCACCATTCCACACTCTAAAAAAAAAAAAAAAACCCAAACAATTGCACAATCACTACCTTATTAATGGTACGTTTGGTTCCATTAAAACCCCCAGCCAAATCATTCCATCAAAAAAGAGAAGGAATGTAAATTATTTTATAACATTTTACTGTTAAGGGTAAAATAATATATTATTATATCTTTTTATTTTTGCTATGTATAGGTAACCCCATGTTAGAAGTAGTTCTATTTGAAGTACTATTAGATACTAAATATGGACACTTATCTCAGCGGGGATTTAAACCTTAGCTTGTCACGTTGTAAAGAACTAATTCTTACCGTTAGAACCAACCTCTGTCGGTTGTAATTATATATATTTTAATTTTTTACTTTTAGTATAAATATCCTTCTATTGTGGATGATTTTATTTGAGATACTGTCAGACATTAAATATTGATATTTTTTCTAACAAAGATTTAAACCGTAGTTTATCACGTTACAAGAGAATAATTTTTTTGGGCTAAGCCCAACTCCACGCCCTTGGTATAATTATGTGGTGTTGATGTTGGTGCAAAACAGGGACTGTACACTTCGAAGTTAGAAGTCGGAAGACCAGTCCCATTACATATTAGCAACAAAGGCCCGGGTGGAATAAAATCAGGCCGACTACTATGAGGCCTAACATCCCTTTGAACAAAGTCAGAACTCTTAATGGGCTGATCCACCAAAACGGCCAAGCTCGCCAAATACTTCTCTAATCCTTAATATAAAACTTATTTAACTAATTTAATTAGATTAAAAAAATTAAATAAATTAGTTAATTATAAGACATGTGACCATTTTTTCTAAAATACCATAATCATTTTTTTAGTACCTCATCTTCCACTCCTACTTGATTATGGTTGAGGGAGTATCCACATGGGTAATTTAAAAAAAATTAATAAATATGAGAAATGCGTCTTATATTTAGGACCAAAACCAACTCAATAATTAGGTCTTATATTAAGAATCGGGAGAGTATATCATTATGGGTCGGTGATTAATAATGTAAGTAGGGAAGTATATGCAATTAAGTACTGTCTCCATTCCTTATTATAAGATCATTTTAACTAAATTATGATATTTAAAAAAAATTAAAATTAGTTAAAAGAAATAAATATGTAGCAAATACAATTTTTTTCAAATATACCCCTACATATAAATGGATAAATGTGAGAGAGTAATAATGAGATAAATGAAGAAAGAAAATGTGTTAGATGCATTAAATTAGGGGTAAGATAGGTAATAATATATTAAATACTCAGCCAAATTCAAAAAAATCTTGCAAAAAGGGATAGATCCATTAAAAAATTAAATCTTATAATAAGAGATGAAAGCAGTAACAAATATGCTGGATTAATTGTTAGGGATGTGACTGGGGAGGTTTAATTTGGGAGGTAGCAGGGAAGGCTTTAACTACAGAGTGGGGATGGCTCAGTCCAAATGCAAATAGGAGCACTCTAATTTTGCTACTTTCCCATCTACTCTTTTTCATTATTGCTTTCATGCGTCTGCCTCGTTTTTAGGATGACGCCAATTATGGGGGTGTTTGGATAGAAACCAAACCATGGTTTCAGAAGTGTTTTTACGGATTACGAAGTAAATATGTGGAAGAGATTATCTCGTTTTGCGGAAAAGTGCTTCTGAAACCATGGTTTTGGGTTTCCCAAACACCCCCTATAACTTCCTACTTACGAGTTACGAGCCCTAGCACTTTTTTTTTTTTTAAGTACAAGATTCCTCCTGATACTTTTAAGTATAAGATTTCTTTATATATTTACTTTATATACCGTAAAAATATTTTTAAAATTATAATTTAAGATTTACTCAAACACCTCCTTAATTTATTTTAAAAAAATATTTAAAAAAAGTACTAATAGAGATATTTAAAGTCTGAACGTTCAAGAGATGCTGCCCAACACGAAACGGATAGCTACATAGAGCAAGCTACAGTTTGACATGGTGGGCCCATCAAACCACGCCTCACTTATAATACCCAATAACTAGTACTTTTTGCCAACACCTCAGTCTTTGTTTGCTTGGAAGGTTTTTAGAGATAGAGGAGAAGAAATTGTGTTTGGTTCAAAAAAATAAAGAAAAAGGGAGGGAAAAAATATTATCTTTTAGTGTTCTCCTCTCCTCCTTTTGCTCCTCTCCAAATTTAGAATTTTTTTGGAAGGAAAAAAATATTATCTCTTATCCTAATTAAATTACCCATGGTAGTTTTTGAATTTTCAAGGTTCTTCTTTCTAGTAAAAACTTTTTTTATTCTTTGCCTCTTTTTTTTTCAATCTCTGCTATTCTTTTATGGATTTTTTTTACTCCTCAAAGATTTTTTTTTTACATATTTTCTTTCGCTGATTTTCTTATCTTCCACGCTCTTTACCATTAATCTTTCCCATTTTTCCCCTTACCTAATCTCTCACCTCATTCATCTTATCATTATTATCAGGATTTTATTCATTTATTCTGTATAAAACTATTTTTTATTGGTTTATATGAGTTAAAGTCACTGAGATCTATTAAAATGATATTATCAATCACCAAATTTATTAATGTGTGTGTTTATATATACCTATTCTAATTTAATTTCATTTTTTTATACAAAACTTTGTGTATTACTCCCTCCGTTCCTTATTATAAGAGACATTTGATGCTTATGACATGTTCCTATATATAAGAGACACTTACAAGTTGTCTCTACTTTTTTGTGTTGATTTACTATTTTACCCATATTTATTATCTCCAACTCACACTCTCTCTCCCTCCCACTTCTCTTTCTTTTAATAATTTAATTGTTCTCTCTCATGCTCTCTCTCCTTATTAATGAGGGCATTTTTGAAAAAAAAAATTATACTTTTTACACATTAATTGTTCTTAACTAATTTTAACTGTTTTTTTATCAACGTACTTCGATTATTTGTCTCTTATAATAAAGAACGGAGGGAGTATCTAATTAAGTATGTGAAATTGTGCACATTATATAATTAAGGATGGAAAAATTTAAAACTTGTAGCATAAATTTATTTATAATTTATATAATATATATGCTAAATATTATAATATATTTTTATGATTGACACTTATTTTAATATATGATTATTTATAATCTATTTGTTATGTTTCAAGATACCTGGTTTCTTTTTTTATATTCACAAATTAAAAAATAATAATTATGATATAAATATCGTAATAAAATAATAAAGAAGTTTAAATAAAAAGATACATATATATTTGTTAACTTAAAATTAACTTCCCTCCATTCTCCTCTTAAACTAAATAAAAAATCTCCCCTGCACTTTCTTTTCTTCTTATCAAATAAAACTCATTACCTCCCTCCCCCTCCTCTCTCTCTCCTTAATTTACCTCCCTCCTCCTCCTATCTATTGAACCAAACAAAGCCTAAGTTTATAGCTATGGATATTTTAATTTTCTTTATTTATTTCACATATAAGTAAGTCCTTACCCCGCTCATGATGACGACGTGTGACCGCTTCCAACCCCATTATTTTTTGTCGTCACCTGGCCAACCTCTGTTTCCCACAATGCTTGTATCGGCTTTGCGCGCCGGCAACCAAACTAGAGAAAATTAAATCTGGGGAAGAATAAGGAACGTAATTAGAGATGACGAGAGGAGAATATCAGTGTGAAACGGAAACCCATGTTTTGATGTTTCCATTGCCTGCTCAAGGTCACGTCAACTGTATGCTTCAACTGGCGGAGCTTCTGGTTCTCTCCGACGTCCATGTCACCTTTCTCAACACAGAGCACGTCCACCACCGCCTCCTTCGTTTCGCCGATGTCCCTTCTCGTTTAGCAGCCTATCCCACTCTCCACTTTGAGACTTTCTCCGACGGACTTCCCTCCGACGACCCCCGACACGGAGACAATTTAGGCGAACATATCAAACAGGTGAATTTGACCGCTCTGCCTCAGTTGAGGGAGATATGCATGGAAGATTCTGGAAAGCCTAGGTTCAGCTGTATCGTTGGAGATGGCATCTTTGGACGCCTCACCTACGAACTAGGACAAGAACTCGGGATTCCGGTAGTTTATTTCCGTACCGTTAGTGCTTGCAGTTTTTGGGCTTATTTTTGCGCTCCGAGGCTACTTGAATGCAACGAACTTCCTATTCGAGGTATGTATTCCTTCTGTTCCGGATTTAGTCAGATTCAGAAGTGAACTTTTTGAATGATCTGATATTAACAAGGGGTAAGATTGAAGGTGAAGACGACATGGATCGCATGATAACCAGTATCCCTGGTATGGAAAACTTGGTTCGATGTCGGGATCTCCCCAGTTTCTTTCGAGGAACACATAACGGTAACCTTCCTCTAGAACCTGTGGTGTTCGAGACCCATCAATCGCTGCGAGGACAAGCTCTGATTTTAAACACATTTGAAGACTTAGAAGGCCCGGTCCTCTCCAAGATTCGCCTTCACTTTCCCAGACTCTACGCCCTCGGCCCTCTCCACGCACACCTTACCTCCAGAAAAGCCGCCAAAACGATGTCGTCGGAGGAGAAACCGGCAGCTTCCTTCATCAGCAGTCTCTGGGAAGTGGATAGAAGCTGCATGACGTGGCTCGACGCTCAGCCACCTAAATCGGTGATATATGTGAGCTTCGGAAGCATAACCACAATCTCGAGAGATATGCTCATGGAGATATGGTACGGTTTAGTGAACAGCAAGAAACGGTTCTTGTGGGTGATCCGACCCGACATGGTGGCAGAACAAGACGGGAAGGATCTGCCATTGGAGCTTGTGGAAGGGACGAAGGAGAGAGGGTGCATGGTGGGTTGGGCCCCACAACAGGATGTTCTTGCACACGCGGCGATTGGTGGGTTCATGACACACAGTGGATGGAACTCGACGTTGGAGGGCGTGGTAGCCAGCGTTCCGATGATATGCTGGCCATACTTTGCAGACCAGCAGATAAACAGCAGATATGTGAGTGAGGTGTGGAAGATAGGGTTAGATATGAAGGACACGTGTGATAGGAAAGTTGTGGAGAAGATGGTAAATGATGTGATGGAGGAGAGGAGGGAGGAGTTTGAGAAATCAACGCAAGCTATGGCCAACTTGGCCAAAACGAGTGTACGAGAAGGTGGATCTTCCTACTCTGATTTTGACCGTTTGGTTGAGTTCTTGAAATTACTTGGTACTCGGCAAAAGCAAAGTTGACGGCGGAGAATCTTTCTTGTTTCCTTCTTCGGCCATGGATGGACTTTCATGGCCGATTCTTCTTCCACTTTGTGAAGTTATCACTTCATACTACCCTGATTATGATTTATAATTTATAATTTATAAATAAATTGTTATAATTAAGGTCAAAAATAGTATTTATTACGATTCTTAGTGGCGTAGGCCTAGAACCTAATAGTAGTTGCGATGCTTTAATTGTTTGTAGGACTTTGTGTATAAATGAATAAATAATGTGTGTGACCCCAAAGTAGCTAATGAAAGTTTTAGAATTAAACACCCTATGCCAGCCAAACTGAGAACGTTTACAATAAATTCAAGGTGACATCAATTGGCGCCTAATGACTCTAATATAATTGATTCTAATAAGGGGATATTTATTATAACTAAGCTTAGGAAAAAAAGTCACATCATTTAGTAGCAATTATAAAACTGTTACAGAAAATACAATTAGTAAAGTCATACTCGTCTTTTCCTTCCCTGCGTTCTCACGGGCAAAACTTTAATTAATATGTGAGGAATTCAAAAAAATAAAAGTTAGTGGGGACAAAATCTGGGCATTTAATATAAATATTAACATTTCCTTAAAATATATTTTTAAATGTTTAATAAATTACTATATAAAGAAAAAATTTGATGAAAACTGAAAACTAAATAATTGGATTGAGATCCTGCTTATACGAACAAATAACACTCTTTTACATTAGGGAACCATACGAATCGATCCTGCTTATCAGGACAAGAGAAAGAATTTGATAATATTTTGATTACAGATTAGATTATTTAAAATTCTTGAGGTGAAAAAACAAAGATTATTTAAGATGCGTAATTAACATAAATGGTGCCTCTTTCATTAATGTAATTAAGGGCGGGGAGATGCAATAATTCTGGCTTAATTTGCAGCTATAGGGGTGAGGATTTTTTTAATAATTTCACCAAAAAGAAAATTTTATGCATTACTGAGCATACGAGTACGTGACAAGGCCAAAGTCATATACGAACAATTCATACAACAACAAAAAAGTCATATACTAAATTGGTTGAGACAGTTATTTAAGAATGAGTGGGTCAAACTAGGAATTAACTTAGAGTCAAACAATCATATTAGAATGATACAATGTAATTAAAAATAACAAAATACAGTAACATTAATAATCACTAATAATAAATACAAAGAAATACAACAATAGTTTAATTATAATAATAACAAAATATAACAACATTAAAAATTTTGATTTTTACAATTCCTTAATAATTAAAATTAATAATTATTGATACTAGAATCATAATTAAAATTCATTCAAAATTATAGTGATCAAGATATTAGCAGTTGAATGAGAAAAAATAGAATCAATAGCGATATAATCAGAACTAGTTCACACTGATTTTCATTACCCCTAGTTTGATACCGATTCAATTTTTAGCCAATTCAACATGCAAACCAGACTACTGGCCAGTTTGTTAGTTTAACCGATTAAACTAACCAATTCAGTCTGTCTTTTTTCCTTGTGGACAACAAAAAGTTACATCAATGATGAAACAAATTTAACATTTATGATGAAGAAAAAACAGAATAAAATATTATAAATATGGGAATGAAATGGAAGAAACATGGAACCAGAGAAGCAAAGATGTTTAGGAGGATATGTGCGTTTAATTTGTGTGTGTGAACATGAAATTTTACATCGACTTACACTTCGATTAGCCAAAGGGCTACCATTATATGATAGTTATGATATTTTAGTTATTCGATAATTTGACTCTTTTTCCCCCTGCCAATTAAAGTAAGTTGGCGCGAGTTGAGTCGGAAGACGCATATGCATATCGTCAAACCATTTTTTTTTCCCCGTCAGATGCGTGTCTTCAAAGGATACATGGAAATTAAGTAAAATAAGAAAAAGAAAAGAAAGTAATCCCAATTTAAGAATAAAAATTAAACACGAAAGAATATGTTGTTACTTTTCCTAAGAGACAAATTATAAGGGCCAAAATATTATTTAAGAATCTGTAAAATATTTTATTTTCTTAGAAAATTCATGTTTATAATCAATATAATATTTATTTTTAAATAAATATGTTTTACAGATTTATTTTAAAATCTTAGCCTTGTTTGGTTCTATTTTATTTTTTTTACGTTTTTTAAAAACAAATTTTAAGTAGTAAGTTTTTTAGAGAAAAAAATTAAAAATTTATACTGCTGTTGAAGGACTGTAAAAATTACGGATTTCCATCCTCTTTCTTTCCCTCCAGGGTCATCTTTTTTTCTTCACAACCATTAGATCAAACTCCAATAGTCCAGATTTAATATTTTATAACATTTTATAAAAATAAATATTATTATAAAAATAGGTAAATAAATTTAAACTGTTAAAATATAATATGAACAGTTCATTGCTACAAACTGTTAAAATAAAACAATTTTTTTTTGAATTTTTTTATTACAGTTGTGAACTATTCAGACTATATTTTAACAGTTTAAATTTATTTATTTATTTTTTAATAATATTATTTTTATAAAATGTTAAATTTAGATTATTGGAATTTTGTTTTAGTAGTTGCGTAGAGAAAAAAAAGATGGTGAAAGAAAAGAGAACGGGAAGGACAGAGGAGAGAATCCAAATGTGAAAATTACTTTGCCGACCAGCAGATAAACAGTAGGCATGTGAGTGAGGTGTGGAAGATAGGGTTAGATGGGAAGGACACGTGTGATAGGAACATTGTGGAGAAGATGGTGAATGATCTCATGGTGGAAAGAAGGCAAGAGTTTGAAAAATCGACACAGGCTTTGGCCGCTTTAGCCAAAACGAGGATACGAAAAGGTGGTTCTTCCTACTCTGATTTTGACCGTTTTGTTGGTTTCTTGAAGTCACTTAGCTGTCCTCGAAATTGACAGTTCTCATTGCGCGCGATGCCATGGAGATTTCTCCTTCCTGCAATATAATCCCGCTTCCTCCTGGGTGGGCCCCAATATTTCTTCTAATTCTTTGATAATCTCCTATGGGTTGGGACCCAACAATTAAAGTATTGTCATCCATTAGTTTGCAGTGTTCCCTTGCTATCAAAGTCACAGCAGATGATTTTAGGAGTATAAGTAACATCTTGGTTATACTACCTACCTCCAATTTTTAATATGAAAACTAAATAATTAATTTAAAAATTTTAAAAAAAATAGCTAATTGAGTCAGTTATAAAAAAAAAGTGTTGATTTACTTAAATTAACATTATTATAATCATATCTATATTAAAACTACACTTGAGTGAAAAATACTTTATAAATAATAAATATTTGTTTTAGAACACGTTATAAATTTAGGTGAGATATGGATATTTATTGAAAACCGCCGACAGACTCTCACATTTAGGATTAGAGGAAATATTATATATACTTACAAAAAAATAATTTTTTATGATCTTTTTGCATATTGTCTATCTTATCAATCAAGCACTTAACGCTGTGCAACAAACTACGTACTATATCGATAATTTCTAATCTTCATAAATTTCTTGTAAGAACTATTTTTTAGTAAGATTCTTCTAACAAAATTAAATACGAAGACTTCCGAGAATTCGACTCAACTATCATGGGCGGCGCTCTCATTAATATTGTGTATAAGCCCGATATTTCTCTGATAATTGGTGTGTAGAATAGAAGTAAAAACCGCTGGTCTCGTCCGTCTAGTTTAACTCAAGGGGGTCCAGTTCAGCTCAATTCGGTTCAAATAAACAATATGATAAAAGTGGATCAGACTGGATCAAACTAGCTGGTTTGGCTGAATTGGGTTCAAAACTAACAGGTCAGACTACTAAGTGATACATTTAAAAAACTTTGTCTAATTTAGAATGTTGTTTTTTTTATTGTTATTTAATATTGTTAGAAAGTTTTATGGACCTATAATTAAGTCTCAATATTTTGGGATAATTTCTATATGATTATAGGTTTTTTTTATTATGCTAATTGTGTTTATTAATATAAAATATTGATTCCACAAAGAAAAATTGAAAAATAAAGGAAAATTAAGGTTCTGGACCAATCCAAAGAGTTCGGTGGACCAAGTCCAATGCAACTTGAACTTAGGTCACTGTTGGACTGGACTAGACTGGACCATAGACTGCCAGATCTAACTTGACTAAAAGTTAAACTAGAGTTTGAGTTGGATTTTAGTACGATGGAGTCTATCTATTGTGCAACCCTAGCGCAAAATATGGCCTTTGATGCCTCGCTTTCTAATGCTTCAATATATTTTTCATTTCTTTTTTTTACTTGATTATTATATTCCATATAAAAAGAGCAATATTTTGATATTTTCACAATCATGAAATGGCATTTTTTAAATTTTATATATTTTTTTTAAAAATAAAATTGTACGATTTTAGATCATTATTTGTCGTCTAAGAAAAATGGCCTTCAATAATAGCATAAATGGTTAAAAATGCTCCTTCTTTTTTTACCACTTTAAAAACGTTTCTTCAGATGCTTCCTTGCAAGTGTTTTATTGTTCTCTTTTTTTTGGATACAGAGTGTGTTATTGATCTCTAGATACAGAGCTGAGAGAACACCGACGCTGGATTCCGTCCATTGATCTATGCCTTAATTGGAACTTCTATATATGATTTTTTTTGTCAAATATATTATGAAATTATTAGAGTCTTTTTATTAATTTTATTTTTTTTAATAAGATAGCAAATTATATTATACTCCTCTGATACTTATATGGGACCCAATTATTAAGTTGATTTTGATCATAAATATAAACTCATTTCTCATATTTATCAATTGTCTCTAATTACCTATATGGATACTTCCTCAACTATAATTAAGTAGAAGAGGGATATGGGATATTAAGAAAGATGATTATGTGTTTTTTAGAAAAAATATGTCACATTTTTTATAATTAACTAACTTACCTAACTTTCTTAATCTAATCAAATAGTTAAATGAGTTTTATAATAAGTATCGGAGGAGTATGAAAAAAGAAAACACATAAGGACTAGTATATATATTGGAAAGGAGAATACATTACGCGCCTACTAGTATTTCCTTTTGTCCCCATTATAAGGCATCTCTTAGAAGTAATTTTCGGACTTAAATTTGAGTCACCAAA